TTCTGGAACAGTGTTGTAAATACAACTTAATCACTGATTTCTAGTCGTGTCCATTTTTGGAAGGCCAAACAAAGTAGTTTCGCTTTCACAACGAAAAACACAGCGGCCTAGCGTGAGCGAAAGCCCCGGCTTAGCGTGAGCTGAAGCCGGGCAAGAGTGAGCTGAGGTGGCGGGGTCGAGAACGGCGGTCCCGGCGAAGGAGGGGTGAAAACGGGGAAAACGGTGAAAGGCGATCCACAGCACTAAGTTGATGCATTCCCTCAGCGACCAGCACGGATCAGCTCTAGGCATGACGAAGCGGATATCGTCCTCTTTTGGAAGACCAAACGAAGTAGTTTCGCTTTCACAACGAAGCACACAGCGTCTTCACGACATGGCGGCAGCGGCAACAACAATACTACAGCGAGAATAAAAGTTACGCCTTCTTTCTTTGCGTGAACATTTGGGCGGCGTTATGCAAATCTTCCCACATAGTGAGGTAGATATGTGGGGGCGTGTTCGAACGAGCCGTTTTAGGTAGGTGTGGCTAACTCTTAACTTTTATAAAGAATATCTCTTTGGATTTGAGACTTTAGTCTTTGCAACTTTACAGATCTTCTTTATGCACCAAGAGCTTGTAACACTCCAAAGAGAAAGGAAAAAATGAAATCGCATCATATGACCCCTTTAATAACCGCAGAGGTTGCATCCTAATCCCTGCCCAGTATCTCTTGCTCTGCACCAAGCCAGAATGCCTCAGGGCATCATTTACTAGCTAAAAGTGGTTGACCCCTGCTTGTTGTTCAGATGACTCCACAACTTAAGCATTAATTAATATGTGCTTCCAGAAATGCACTTTATATGGAGTGAATTAAAGACAGGAAATTCATATTTCTCACTCACACACTTAAAATATACTCTTAAAAATCGAGGAGTGTCTGTTTCAAAACCAGTAGTTGGTGCAATTGTGCTAACTGCCGACTGAAGGACATTAGGTTAGGGTGAGGGCGGGCATAGTAAATTGTTTCAGAAATAGACACCCTGAAGCTGTGAAAGATATGGTTTAATTTGGGTCATCAATTTACTGTGCTGTTTGCGCCCACATAACTACCACTTTGGTCGTTTCTCAAAAAATTCATTCAGCTGAAATGTCTTTATTTAAAACACATCCTAAACCAAGAAAATGCCTAATTAAAAATTTTATTTGTAGTTAGTTTTTCTCTCTTTCAACTTTATTTTTATTGTGAACCATTCCATTCCTAAGAATGAACCTGCATCTCCAGTTATTCATGAAGTAGACTGCTCTGACATTTATGCAGGCATTCTAAAAAACAGTTTCTTTCTTTGTCTAACAGGGTATTGCGGGCACAGATGTCGCAAAGGAGGCCTCTGACATCATCCTTACCGATGACAACTTTACCAGTATCGTCAAAGCTGTGATGTGGGGGCGCAATGTCTACGACAGCATCTCCAAGTTTCTGCAGTTTCAGTTGACTGTCAATGTGGTGGCAGTGATTGTTGCTTTCACTGGGGCCTGCATCACACAGGTAAATTTACATAATTTGACTTAACTTCCTCAGACCCAGCATATAGGTTGATGTCATTATATAATTGTTTAGTATTTTGAAACAAGAAATATGAAGCTTGAGGGGAGGAAATCGAATAATAATTTTCATATTTTGACCTGTGTAGAACGCATCAGGTCATTTATAAAATTAAAAATTCAGGCAAGATGATACAGGTAAAAAAGGTACTGCAAATATATATAAATATCTGGAAATAATTGTAAATATCTTTTTTTCATTAGATATTAAGACAAATTTGTTATAATTAAAATGTAGTAAATAAACATTTTTACAAACAAAAGAGCTGAAGTTGTCCTTGACAAATCACAAACAATGTTGTATGTCTCAAAATTTAAGAGAGAGAGAGAATGTGCTCTTTAAGTTAAATATCTGAACGTTTAATGTGGCATATGTTGTCTTTAATAACCATTACATCACTATTAACTAAGAGTTTCCCTCAAACTCCTAATGTGCTGCTTATTAATAGTCAGTAAGGTAGTTGTTAAGTTTAGGTAATGGGTCGGGTAAAGGGATCTTATACATGGTTATACAGAATTAGGCATTAGTATGTGCCTGTAAGTACTAATAAACAGCCAATACACTAGTAATATGCATGCTAATAAACAACTAGTTAAAAGTGAGAATTGGACCTTAAAATAAAATGTTACCAAAAAATTGCTGGGTTTCAGGAGTATAAAACACAAGAGTATTTGGTGGTTAAACATGGCATTGTGGAGATAATTCATCATAATGTGCCATAATAACAGATCTCAGCCAAGTATTTTATATTTACAGAAACATACTGAGGCCATTTAGTGCTGGTGCCAGACTGTGGCTAATAATGGGCCGGCCAGTCTTGTTGTGTCCCTGCCTAACTACACTACATATGACAATACTGTTGTAATGTCCTTTCTGTGGAGTCTCATTTCAGTTTGTTTTGTCTGCAGGACTCTCCACTTAAAGCCGTTCAGATGTTGTGGGTAAATCTGATTATGGATACACTGGCATCTTTGGCTCTGGCGACGGAACCCCCAACAGAAGCGCTCCTGCTGAGAAAACCTTACGGACGAAACAAGCCACTCATTTCCAGGACTATGATGAAGAACATCTTGGGTCATGCTGTTTACCAACTTATCATCACATTTACTCTTCTCTTTGCTGGTAAGAGGCTTCTGTATTCATGAAGTCCAAATGAATGTCAATAATAATAATAATAACTATTATTAATATTATTATTTACTTTTTATGGCACTTTGAACTATAATGAAAACTCAAATGGGATGGATGGTTGCTTAGCAACTAGCATTTATATTTGCAGTATTCAAAGCATTAGAATTTGCCTCAACCACCCATAAGTTTTACCATGAACTGTCGGTATTAGACATTTTAGGGAAAACCTTCTTGTGAAACGTTCGTCTCAAATCTCAATGGATCTGAAGGTTTGTCTCTCTGCATAATCATCTCTTGACATGACTTTTATAAAATGCTTATTTGCAAAATTTAAATTCATATTATTTTAATAAAATTTGCATTTGAGTTTTTGTGAATATAGTAGTTAAAATTTAAGACCATTATTGCAACTGGACTGATGTTAAATGTTGTTCTTGCCTTTATTGAAAGCCAAAAGCTCATTGCCTTGTTCTCTGAATTCTCTCTTTTTTAACTCTAATGAATGTTAGGAAGATGGTATTTT